CTCCCCCGGGACACTGTTGCATTTGTAGTGGCAACTGATTACGGATGGGCAGTTTTGCACAGCAAATCATTAAAGCATCAGCAGCCATGCTGGGAAGATGAAACCATGTGTTCCATCCCAGGCATGTCCCTGTGCTCTCCAGTGCTCACACCCCGCTGTGAGTCGCCTTCACCTCCCTGAGCCTCCTGCCTAGACAGTGCCAGATGCAATACCATGCACATGGATGTGGTCCTTGCGCCATTTTCCTGCATCCAGGGAGCAAAACGTCATGTGGTGCATGCTGCTGAGCCTGCTGGATGAGGAGCAGTGGGGATTCTGCTGTCTCTGGCCTCTTCTTGGCTATCTCTCCTTCCTTGCACAGGGGTGCGACAGGATCTAGCTTCAGCTATACAGACTCATCCACCAAAGATCATAAAACCAGTGTACTCCTTTCCTTAGCTAAAGGTGTATGGGAGACTGGAGAGGGGAAAAGGCTTTTCCAAGCACAGAACACGAGCAGCTGCTGATCTGCTCTGTTTGCAGGACCTGCCTCCCCAGTCCTATGTCTTTCCCCCCAAAAAAATGCAGAGACATATCTATAGTGAAAAATGAGCTCCATGAGCAGCATCTCCCCAGCCCAAAGCACTGCATTGGTATTCTAGTCTTCCCACTCCTGCAAAGCAGCCTTATTTATCCCAAACCAACCAGCCTGCTGCTGAACACCAATGAATTACACCAGATGATACCTGATGTGATGAATGGGCACCATGTCTGAGTAGATGACTCAATGCCACCCCCTTGTGCAAGACAAAGCTTCCAGATACCCTTGCACAGGGAACGCATAGGCTGAAATGGTGTTCTGTGCAGCTTCCATGTGCAGACAGCAGAAAGAAAAGGAAAACCAATAAAAATAGTCAACGTTTTGCTTCTCAAATGATCATCACACAACATATTGACTTTTCCAAATAATCTCATCAGAGTTGCTAGGCACAGAATTTATCCTGCAGCCGATGCAGATGCTGTTGTTTCACCATTCAAACTTGTTCTGACTTCAGAAAGCATTTTAGCCAAGACAGAGTGGTTTATTTTAATTAAAAGCCTATAAGCCAAGATTATTATTTCTTCTGTTGCTTACCCCCAGGGTCTGGAGATCCTCTACAACACATCCTGTGCCAACAATTTAACACTTGTGCCTGAAGGTCTTTGCAGTTAAAAACAATCTGGGCAAAAACTGTAAATTAATATGAAATCCCAGTTTCTCCTCTCTTTTCATCCCTCTCACTGGCTCAGAATAGCAGGACACAGTGGACAGATTTGGAGTCTGTTAATCAAAAAAAGGAGCTAATATTTACCAGTAGCAATGTTTGTCTTTTCTGTAATGCTCTTGATCTAAATTGCTCTCCAGTCCTGAATGCCATGTGTTGGAAATGCATCAAAACTCACTTATACAAAGCACAGCCCTTGTCACTTAACTGGAACCAGACTCTTATTCCCTGAGGTCTGGAAAAACAAATTCTCATGCCTTAAAACTGATCAAGTAGCATCTCCATGACCATGAAACAGCTACTGCATCATTGCAAAACCACTGATGGACACACTGGAGGAGACCAGCTTCAGAACAGTAAGTGTGAGCACCAGCAGGAGCAGCTCAGAGAAGGCAGGAAGAGGAAGATGAGTGATGGGTGGCCACTCTTTAAGTACAGGGGGAAAATGATGGAGATGGAAGTGGGAAGAAACCCTGTGAGGGATCTGGTAGGTCCAGCACCCCTGCACAGGCTTCTTCCTACTGTTATCCAAAACAGGGTTCAATAGATACTCCCAAAATCTCACCTATATAATAAACACAGACCCTTTGGAAGCAGCCAAAGGGGATGTTTGAATCATTGCTGAAAGCATACCATGGTATGTCTGCCCCAAACCAGACACAATGGGGGCTCATTGGGTGCTGCCAGCCTTCAAACTACTTCTGACAATGCTCCTGTACACTGAGGACTGGCTAATGCTTACCAGGCAGCTGTGATTTAAGAAAAAATATCTCAGACAATTTAAGACTCTCTTAAACATTTAAGACATTTAAAGATGTCTGTGCATGGGTACATGTTACTTCCATTTGCATGCAGTTGGCAGGAGGATGATGAAACCATTTGGAAATACAAATGGTGCAAGAGGCACCCAGGGGTGCTCTCCACAGAACTGCTTGGTGTGTTCTGCATCTCACTTCGGAAAGACACTTTGCAGGATGGAACGGAGTCCATGTTTCCTCAGCTCTCCTGTTATTGATGGTCTATATTGACTTGGCTTAAAATAGTATTTGCAGGATGGTTTTTCCCTCCCCTTAAATACTTCCCAACCCGGCTGAGGGACCACAGAGGGCCATTCTAACTGGAGCAGAACTGATCGCTGCTGCTACCTGAGAAAGAAACACACACACATATGACTCAATTTAAAGGCCACATGGGAAATCAAGGAGGAAAAATACATCTGAGAGACCCTCCACATCTCCACTCCCTACCAATGCTCAGGTCTCAGCTGAATGCTGCTTTTCTCAGGCTGACCACTGCTCTTTAGGCCATACATATGATAGGACTGATGTACCCTTTCCCTATTATTCCAAGCCTCACTCTTCCATGTGTTATCCCTCTCTCTCTTCTCTATTCTTCTGCTTCTACCCCTTCCCCGTCTACTGCAGCCCCACTGCTGTTGTAAGATCCTTTCCTTCTGCAGCTTTTGCCATCTGGAACTGCCTTCCTGTACCCCACCAACTCACAGCTTTATCTGCAAATGCATCTCCAGGCCCTCACCTGCTCCTCTGAATTCCACCCTCCTTCTGCTGCTGCTTATTATTTAACTCTGTTACTGCATTATTTAAAGTGTTATTAGGGCACTTGGAACAGAATTTGCACAAAGTGCCACAGTATAGTAAAAGCTGGACCCTCTGCACAAATACCCAAGAGACAATTTGAAGGGAAGCTGTTTGAATGGAAGAGGGAACTTTCTAGATGCCCACACAGATTCCCTCTCCCCTTGGCACTGGTATAAGAGCCTCTTCAAGATGCCTTTTACTGCCTGTAGCGTTGGGGTGAGGTTTCATGGTAGCATTGCGCAGCCAGCTGACACCAGAGTCTCTTCTTATCCCACCCTCACTGTCCTTGTCACCTAGTACCAGTCACATCCACAGGCTTGTGGCACTATCCCATCCTTAAAATCATTCCCTGGGGATGGCTGCAGGGGTGAAGTGCTCTATCAGCAGCCCAGACTCACTCCTCTCCCTGCCGTTCCCATCCAGCAAATGTGAAAATTGCATGTCAAAGGGATATGGAAACACAGCCAAGCCCCAGTTCCAAAAAGGGCTTTGTTTCAATGCAGATATAATCCCACTGGAGATAATGCAGATGCATAAATGTTTTGCTTAAGGACAAGGTGACTTATGGCCCTGCAGATGGCTTCATAAAGCCAGGTAGGAATGGGCAAAGGAGGGAACCTGTTTCCTGAATGACACTAACATATGTGAGGTTTTTCTTGCTTTTTCTTTGGGAATAAGCAGCAAAATTACTGTATTCTTCATGAGCTCTCCTACCCCAGGAGAACTGAAATCTGAGATTAAATCTTCTCTTCAAGGGCTTTGAAATCCAGGAAAGTGCTATGTAAAGAGTTGTATTTTTACCCTTACAAGTAAAAGACCATAAACATTTTTGCTGAGGCCCTGGAGCACTTGTTCAATTCAGCCAAAGCTTTGTTGCCTGCAGACAACCCCCAGGGCTGTCCCTTTCCATCATGAGGCTGCTTTCCTGAAGCCTCTGCCCTCTTTTCACTCATCCCACTGCAGCCTGAGGGGCACAAGGGCCGTTGTCCCCACTGCATGAAAGAGCATGATGAAAGCTCAGACCCAGCATCCTGCTGCTCTAAAACCAGAGCACACATCCTCCCTGCCTTGCTTCCTCTGAGCAAAGCCACCACAGGCATTTACACAGGCTGACGGGTCACTAAATGGTGGCAAGTTAACCTGTGAGCTGAATTTTAGGGAGGGCTCCAGACTTCTCTGCTTCTCTATCAGAGAATTCAGCCCGTGAATTTGATCTTCCCAGTGGGTATTTCTGCTTCTTAGATAGCTCCAGCAAGGCCAGTTCCACTGGGGGGTCTAGAAAGCACCAGTGGCTCAGTGGGACAGCGATGGTGCTTCCTCTTCTCCCCATTGCTCATGTGCTGGGATGAGGCTTGCAAGGCACAATGAAGGCAATGAAACATTCATGACTACCACGTTCCTGCCCCTCATGGTGTATGTTTAGCTCTCATGTCCCCACAGATGCATTACAAATCACTGCAGCTTCACCAACGCCAGACTCTTGCTGTGACAGCCTAATACTAGAATCCAGAACAGAATTTCAACTTCTATCACATGTCAGGAGGCCAGGAACAAGTTTTTAAAAGACTTCTACTAAACTCCACCCAATTCAGTCTGGACAGTGCTGGAGGGTAGTAGAAGGAGACAGAAACGCTTACATCCAGGTTTGACTCTTCTGACTTACATAAACTTGGTAACAGCTAGGTTATTAGCAAGCAGAGGCTGTTGGATGATCAATAAAATGAGCACTGATCTCACAGGAAGCCACATATCTAATCCATTGGCAAGAACCATGCAGCACTGTGTTCTGGGAGGTTTTTAATCCCTACCATAAGAGCCTGGACTGTCTCTGCTTTTCCGGGAAGGTTTAATGCTGTTTAAAATCACACTGCACAACAGACATAAGGCAGCTCCCACTGCCAGACCTGCCTCCCCTCTGATGCCTGAAGCCAGCAGGACCAAACCACCTCAGGGCAACATCATGGGTAAAACTTGCACTGGCACAACATGATTATCCCTGCAGCAACACAGGGTGGTCTTATGCAGCACACTGTGAGACAGACCCCAGTGGCCTTTACACAACTGTTCACACTTAGCAAAACATCTCATGCTTCTCAACAGATCAATTCTGGAAACTATTGATAGTTGGCTGAAATTGCATTTAAAAATAATCACTTACCTGCCAGAATATGCTGTCTATTGTATTTCCCAGAAAGCCATCTCTGCCTTCCGATGACACCAGCTTAGGTCCCAGAATAGTCATAAATTCATCAAAATCAACCTGGCCATCCCCTGGAATGAAAGAAAAAGATCAGTGTTTTCACTGAAGTACTACTTAGTGCCATTGACTAATATGCTGCTCTGGATCTGCTACATCATGGACCCACACATACACTATGGCACCTCATACACCAACTTCATGGTGCCTACAGACCCAAATTCATTGATATCCCAATGAATGGCCCCTGTTGTGGCATATCCAGACCTGAAGACAGGACCCAAATAGAGATGATGAACAACAGATCATTCCTCAGCACTGGAGAGTTTGTAGGCAAGTCACTTCTCAGAAAACCCATTCTTGGCAGGAGGACAGCAGCCATTAGCATGGCCAAGGCTCTTCCTTTCTACAGAACTACCAGACAGACAGGTCTCTGCAAAGCTTTTACAGGGCCAACCCCATTCTCCAGAGGAAGGGAGCACACACAGAGGGAAGAACCAGACTAATCCAGAAGGCATTTCATTTCAGCTTTCCATCAGCATCTATCTCTTAGAAGCCCTGTGTGCTCAGCATGTAGAGCAGGCAGTGTAGACACAGCTTCAGCACCATTAGCAGGAAGAGGAGACTACTCCTGCTGTTAATGAACTGAGCCTATGCAGTCCCAAGCCCCTGCAGTATATTGTATATTTTGTAAATGAGGCACGTGGCTGTTTGAAGTATATCTGAGCCTTGTATCAAATGTTACCTTCCCCTCAGAGAACTTCTGTGATCCTTAATGAAAACAGCAAAAAAGAAAAAGGGGGAAAATCATGCCTGTTGAAGGCTCTTAAAAAAACCTGCTCCTTGGAGCAGGGTAGTTCAATGTCTGTATCTCTCCTTCCTCTATCAGTCCATAGATGTATCGTCCTACATATTATTAGGCCAATTGATATGGGTGGCTACATAGTCTGGGAATGGAATCAGCAACTGTAAGACTTTCAGATTGTCTTTTGTTCAAATTCAGCTGGAACTGACTGCATCCACCTCTCCATGTAGTTTCTGTTGCTAAATTATTAGGGGTAAAGGAAGTGTCTAAAAGCCATCAGGCTAAAGCAGATCAATGCAAGGACTACTATGAAAATGTCACTATTGACCGTAGTACCTGCAGCAGCCCTGCATGATAGCTTCACCACGTGCACTGCATGCTGCTCCTATCTGTCCTTCTTATTATATTTCATATGCTTGGTCTGAGTGTATGCACTGATTAAAATCTCTGCATGTCCTTATCTTTGCAGAAACACAGTGTGAAAATAAGCAGAGTCAAAACACTTGCAAGAATACTGATCTCTATTTACTAGGCTCTGCCTGTAATTTCTTGAAGAGTGAATATCCTGGGGGTGAGCCTGTCGTGGGGGCTTTGAAAGGAAGCCCAGCAGGGATTCATAATAGCTTTGATCCTGTAACGTGCAGGAAGAGCCCATCCAACTGCTAAAGTTGCTCACACCTTCAGGGCTCAGCCCACACTGAAGAGTTCTGTGGGGCTGGAGTGGGTTGAGCTTTTGCAGGATGGAGCTCATTTCTTTAAACAGACAAGGAAAAGGGTGGGCATCCCACCACTTGGAAAGCCATTCTTTAAAATATTTATGGGCTATGAGAAAATGTGTTCCTTCTGCTTCCCCACGGGAGGCATCAGTTTATGGCATCAAGTCGGACTGTATCGGTCACAGCAGGTTGGATCATGTTGGGGAAGGTAATGCAAGGTGACAGTGGATTTGGGGTGATTTGCATTGCAATACATCAAAGGAAAGGCAGCAACAAACCCATACACTGTCATGCAAATCAGGTTAAAGAAATTAGACAGATTAGCAAGAAAACAATCTGCATTTTAAGGAATTCCAGTACCTGCCCCTGCATATATTTTGTTGATCCATATGTGACCCCAAAACACTGAGTTATTCATTTCACGTTTCCTGCAATGTCATTTCATCCACAGAGGAGAGCCAGGACTTAGTCCTACACATGACTCAGGAGAAAGCGGGTGCCAGGACTCTTGGGCTCTGTCTGACTCAGAACAAGACTTTGGGCAACCCCTTGCTCATGACTTCCCTGTGCCTTTGCCAGGGATCATAACTAACTGCACAGGGTTTAATTATCAGCTTAATTATAGCTTTTCCACAACCTCAGAAGAAAGATGCCATTACAAAATGCATTATCCCCTTATTGACTGCTTTTTCAATTAAAACTGTTAACTAGCAAGGAAACTAGACCCCAAACCATTTTGCCTGGTAGAAATATCCCTTTAATGTTTGTTTTTAGCTGCAGAAAACAAAGCTTCCTGGCATCAGGATCTCAGGAGACTGAAGCATCCTAAAATCAAGAAAGAGAACTCAGAATTTTGGCTGAAAATTCCATTTACAGTATTCAAAAGCCAGGAGAGAAATATTATTAAAAACAACACTTAGGCTCCAAGACACACCCAGCACAACTCTGCATGGTTGCAAGGTGAAAATGCAGGGGGTTGCTCTCCACAGCCATGGCATAACCAGGTAATACCCAATATCCGCATTGCTGCAGGCTCTATAAGCATCCAGGCTACCCACCGGATGCTGGGACCACTCAGCTTGAAATCTGTGTGGGGTACAATCAGAAGATGCCTTCCTCCTCCTCCTCGCCATAGTCACACACACGGTGTGCTACAAGCTGATGTGTGATGCACACATCAAGTATCTGCTTGAGAATCTGCATTGGAGGCAAATCAAACACCACACAGAACCCCACGTTTGGCTTTGCTGTGCCTACAGATGTGCTCCTTGCCTCAATGTAGTTGATATTCAGAGCGAGCGATATGCAACTTATTCAGAAATGAACTTTTAGTTGGGTTAAGGGGTGGGAAAAAGGGAGAGTAAAGGCCAGGCTGGAGCATGAGTGCTGTCTACACTGCTCTCACCTTCCCTTGCTCCTTTCCATGAGCCATCCAGCAAGCCCTGAACAACACAGCTGTCAGCAGTGATCACAAAGCCCCAGTCTGTCACTGTCCCCCCTGGCCAATTTATGTGTGTGGTGTTCACATCCTTCCCCCACCATCTGTCTGCAACTACTTCAGCATGAACTCATCACACTGAAGGAAAATAACCTCGTTAAGGACAGATGGGGCACAAGCAGGAGAAAGACTATGGCCAGGGGACTGTGCTCCCTGTCCATTGATAGTTGCAGCTGTTTTCTTCTCCCTGCTCCCATTAGCTTCAAATACAAGCATGGTTTATAAACCTGAGCCACGCTGAAGTCACTGATGAAGGTACTCACACATTGCAATAACTTATTTACAAACTCAAAAGGTGGAGAAACCTCAAGGGATGGTAATGCGGGAGAGCTGGGGCAGGAGAAGACTGTTAGGGGACATGGCGGGCAAGGACCAGAGGGGTTCTGGGCAGGAGGTAGTCCAGATGCCACCCCATCCCTGAGGATTAGACAAGGGACAGTTACTGCTTGTGTGGGTGACCTTAGCAAAACAGTAGAGCTGAGCTGTACCATTAACTCCTAAACCTCTTAACTATTAACCAACTAAAACATCTATTTATTTACTAACAGTTATGCCCTAACATTTTTCTCCACCATAATGTTTCCTTAACATAATCTTAATCCCAGCATTAATGTCAAAGAGTTAGAAGGGGGTTAGCAATCATGTGGCTGACCCTTGAATGACTAAAACTATGACTCAGAACATTGCTGGCCACATCATCAGAGATAAAACTGATCTGCTTATCATTACTAGTCCGTTAGCATCCTCTGGGTACTAAGTGCTTCCAGATACCCACAAAGGTTTGCTCCCTGCAAGACACTGTCTCAGTTATGACAAAAAGCAGGCATATGTGATAATAAAAAGGAATAGCAAATAGATGCACTGTCAATGGCCACAGGAACAATTGTGTGAGCCTGACTAATTGCTCTATCACAGAAAGAGTGTGCTGAATCATAGAACAATAGGATCATAGAATCATAGAATGGGTTGGGCTGGGAGGGACCTTGAAGCTTATGCAGTTCCAGCCCCCTGCCATGGGCAGGGACACCTTCCACTGGAGCAGCTTGCTCCAAGCCCCTGTGTCCAACCTGGCCTTGAACACTGCCAGGGATGGGGCAGCCACAGCTTCTCTGGGCACCCTGTGCCAGTGCCTCAGCACCCTTACAAGGAAGGATCAGCATCCTCATAAGGAAGAACACAACTGTCCTAATACAACAGGATTTAGCATCAGCAGTGGCTTGCCCATGTTGGATGTGCCAGGCAGGAAGAGTGCAGCAGACCACCCCCAAATCATACCAGACCTGGAAGAGGAGAGAGGGATTAAGCAGAGGTAGGAAGGCAAATCCCCATGTCCCAGGTAGCAGCAGCCTGTGCGTGGGCTCTTGCATGGCTCCTGCCAGAGCTCTTCTGCTTTGAAGGAATAATTAAATGCTCAGAGGAGCAGCAGCATGAACACATCTCACCCTCCATCCCCTGAGAGAGCCCGGATCCCCAGCCCTCAGTCGACCTCTGTCTATCCAAAGGTCTCCCACTGGAGTGGCTCCCTTGGAGTGCAAATTAAATATTCATTGGGCTGGAGAAAGACAGATCAGGAGAGGGAAAGAAAGAAGGGGAAAACATGCATGGATTGCATTACCTATATACAAAGGGCACAACAGAGACTTACACCTGGGTTTCAGAGCCTTGTGTCTTAAACTGGGAGCCTATAATCTGGCCTGACTGCTTCATAAATATGGCTTTTCCGTGGCCAGTCTCAGGACAATGGGGTTCCTCCTCCTTAAAAGTTTCTTGTAATGGCATTGAAATGAGGCACACATTTAAACAGAGATGAGGATCTGCTGCATGGAGACTGGTAAGTATTCACCTTTTTTTCCCCTCGAGTTTGACCTCCAGAGTGCAGCTAGGTGATATATTTAAAGTTAATGAGCTAGTCTTTTGCAGCTTGGGTCCCAGGCGCATACAACACTCCTGTTTATTTTTATTCTCTTAATAGCTAGCTGCAGTGATTCTCTGTCCCAGTCTGTGTCATTGTGCCCATAAAGTAACCTGTGCAGTAATAATACAGTCTGGTGAAGA